CCCATCCCTGCCCCATTCCTGCCCCATTCCTGTCCCATCCCTGTCCCATCCCTGCCCCATCCCTGCCCCATTCCTGTCCCATCCCTGCCCCATCCCTGCCCCATTCCTGTCCCATCCCTGTCCCGTTCCTGTCCCGTTCCTGTCCCGTTCCTCTCCCATTCCTGTCCCTGGAGCAGGCCGTGCACCAAGAGTGTTTTCAGTCAAGGGTTTGTCAGCCAGAACCCCCCCAGGTTGGGTCAATCCTCAATCCCTGGGACAGCCGAGAATCTCTCAGGCCAGGCTTAACCCCAGGGGTTCCCAGCTGAGGAGCAGCTCCAGGAGCTCCTGGATTAACCCCAGGGGTTCCCAGCTGAGGAGCAGCTCCAGGAGCTCCTGGATAAAGGATTAACCCCAGGGGTTCCCAGCCCTGCTGAGGATGCAGCTCCACAGCGGGATGGGGCAGCAGGGGGGGGATGGAGGCCGTGCCTGCTGCCCCTGATCTGTTCAGAGCAGCTGCCCAGAGCTCCTGAGCCAGGAGGGATCCGGGGATGGGGCTGCTGGTGCCCTGGGACAGCCTCAGAGGGGCAGGACCAGGGACTGGGGACACTGCCCCGTGCCCCTGCCCGCTCTGTCCCCAGGGCTCCAAACCCGGCAGCTCCGGCAGCTCTGGCCCCACACAGCCCCGCGGGGCAGTGGTTTATCCTCCTGCAAAGCCCCTAAGGCCTCCCCCCAGACGGACAGAGAGGCAGTGAATGAGACAGAGCTTTATTAGAAGCTTCCAGCACGTTCCATCCGCTCTCCTCCTCGCAGAAGCCCCCTCAGGGGATGCCCAGCTGCTCCAGGCCATGCAGAGCCTGTCCAGCTCCAGCTCCCGTCCCCGACCTCGCTGTGCCCTCCTGCCAGCAGCACCCCGGCCTCCAGCCCAGCCTGCACCCCCAGAGCCTCTGGCACCCCCAGCAGCGGGAGAGGAACCTCGAGGAACTCCCCTGTCTGCTGCCACCGCACAAAGGCAGGGCAGAGCCCCCGTGGGTCCCAGTCCCGCACCGGAGCTGTCACCGGGCTGTGAGGGGAGCAAATCCCTCCCGAGCAATGCCCTGGAGTGGGGAGGGAGGCCCTGGGGAGAGGGAACGGAGCCATTCCATCCCATTCCGCTCCCCAGCCCCACGGCTCCCACCCTCCCCTCACCCCACGTCTCCCCAGGCAGTTGTGCCTCTCTAGGATGGGAGGCACGAAAGGAAATAAATGAAATATTCAGTCAGACATTTCCCTGCTGCCTGGCACAGCCGAACCTGCCCACCTCCTTCTCCCTCCTCTCCAACATCCTCCCGTCCCTCTTTCCTGAGGCTTCCCCGAGCTCAGCCCCTCTCCCTGCTGCCCTTCCCCACCCTGTGGGACCCTCCCCGGCTGCCCCTTCCCCCGTGCGACCCCCGCCCGTCCCCTGCTGCTGTCCCCGGGACGGAGCCGTGCGACAGAAACCTCATCCCCGCGCTGCTGCCACCGAGCTGGGCCTTTTTGGGCTGAAATCCAAGAGATCGAGCGCGACGGGAGCGATCCGAGCGGCGACGGGAGCGCCGGGCTCCGCCGAGGCGGCGTCCCCCGCATCCCCTGGTCGCTCCCGCATCCCCCGGCAGCTCCTGCATCCCCCGGTCGCTCCCGCATCCCCCGGTCGCTCCCGCATCCCCCGGCGGCTCCTGCATCCCCCGGTCGCTCCCGCATCCCCCGGCGGTCCCTGCATCCCCCGGCGGCTCCCGCATCCCCCGGCGGCTCCCGCATCCCCCGGCGGTCCCTGCATCCCCCGGCGCCGCCGCCCAGCCCGGCCGCAGCCGAGCCCTTCCCGAAGCTCCTCCAGAGACATCCCGGCTCTTTCGTCGGGATGGGCGCTGCCCCGCTGCCTCAGTGCCTCCCTCCCGTGCCACCCTCGAGGTTCCTCTCCCTGTGCCGGGGACTCCAGCGGGGCAGCGCCGGGCATCACCGCCGGGCAGGGCAGAGCCGGCCCTGCCCGCTCCTACCGTCAGCTCGGGAGGGTCCCGCTGCCGGTGCCGTCCTGTCCCGCCGGGGCCGGGCCGGGGAAGCTCCTGGCGCTGGCTCCAGGCTCCTCCCGCTGCCCACAACGAAGCCCCGGGCCCGGGCAGCGGCTCCGGCCGGGGTTAAGTCCGGGGCTGCCCTTCCCTGACCTGCCTTCGGAAGTAGCGGATGGCCGAGAGGGTGCCAAAGCTCGCCAGGAACACTGGAAAAGAGCCCAAAACGTTCCCACCGTCACTGCGGGTGCTCCTCCCGGCCCTGGGCTCCCAAACTGCTCCGTGGGGCGCGGGGGTCGCTCCCCTCCCTCCCCTCCCCTCCCGCCCTCGCCGTGCATCCCCAGCGCACGGAATCGGCTCCCGGCTGCCCACGGCCACCGCCAGCCCCGGGGGCTGCGGGCGTGGGATGCTCCACGCCCTAAAAAAAGGGAATTTGCAGGGAAATGCCCAGCAGGCTCCGCTGGAGCGGGCAGTGCTTGGATACAGAGATCCAGAGGGAGATTTAGTGGATGGGATGGGTACCCAGATCCAGATTTCATGGATTGGTTGGAGCTCCAGATCCAGATGGGGATTTCACGGACTGGTTGGAAATTTGATCTTGGGTGAGAGAAAGACACACCAGGAAAATCCCACCAGGACTTCAGGACAGCACCTTCATTTCCTGCTTCTCTTTGGGCCAGGAGGACACCAAGAAAAAATCCCATTTGGGGGATTTTCTGGGGATTTTCTGGTCCCAGCCCAAAGCAGAAAATATCCAAAACCCTGAATCAAAAAATGTAACTACACAAGAAAGTGATTTCACTAAAGGGGGTGAAACACAAACTCTGTACTTACACCCAGTGTTTTTGATTTTGTTTATAAGGGACATTAAGCTCCCTTGATTCCTGAGCAAAACCAGGAATCCAAGCACGGTTTTGGACCTCACACTTTCAGTGCAGACTGGGTTCTGATTTATGTGCTGGTGGAATTTAAACCCAGCCTGTCAGGAGAGAAGGGCAGCTCCGGGCTGGGAGCCGCTCCTGCCTCCCTCCCCTCGTTATCGCACCCCGGGGCACGAGGAGCGAGGAGCGCATCCCCCTTTCCACACCTCTCCGGGCCCTCCTCCATCCCAAAACCTCAGCCGGACAGAGAGGAGTGCATCCCCCTTTCCACACCTC